AGCTTTTCAGGAATATGAAGCGTTTCTAGGCAATTGGACGTGTTTTTAGTAGATTCGGAAGAGTTGATAGCCAAGAACTGCAATTTATGTGGAATGCCCGACCGGGCATGGCTTGCCCGGGCAGACCGGGCAATGAAGAGTTCACAGGAAGAAGCCCAATTCTGAACGGTGCAACGCGCGCCCGATCGGGCAGGCTTCGCCCGGTCAGACCGGGCGATGAAGAAGTCAAGTTATGAAGATGCAATTCTGGAAACGTGTTACGCGCGCCCGACCGGGCGAGGTTCGCCCGGTCTGACCGGGCAAAGAAGGAAAACTGTCGTATTTTACGCAGCCTTCCTCCGCCCGATCGGGCGAGGTTTGCCCGGTCTGACCGGGCGATGTTCAAGATTGCGCGATTTCAGCTATTTCCGAATTTCTATCTTTTGAGGGTATAAATACCCTTTTGTAATTAATTTTTTTAAAGTTAGTTTTTCATTAGTTTTCTCCTTAAGCCCTAGAAAACTCTCAAGAACCCTAGTTTTATTTTCTTAAGCAATTTCAATCTTTAATCCTAGTTTTATTAATTGTTCCTCAAGAATTCAAGATCATCAATTGAAGTATTTGGTATTTCTTACTTTCCATCTCTTTTATTTATTTTATAGTTCTTTAATTATGTGTTCTCTATTAGATCTTGTTTTTGATTTAATTATGATTTGTGAGTAGTTTCCTTAATCCGGGATCTTGCTAAGCCCGATTATGATTGATGTATAAAGTAGATCTTTAAATTCCCCAATAATAATCCCAATTGACATGCTTAATTGATTGTGTTTATGCCAATACTAGATTAGGAATAATTAGTATTGTTATCATCCCTTTGTTCTTATTGCAACGGAAGTTGGGTATTAACGGGATTAGGTTATTTCAATTAAGGGTTTGAAGATCATCACGGAAGTAGATGATTGAATAATTAGGAATCTAGGCATGGTGTTTAATGTCCCTTATTCGCTTGATTCCACGGAAGTAGGCTTGATAGTTAATTTGGGAAGCCATTGATAACTCGGAAGAGACCTTTGGTATTATTATTAGGGATTGCTTTTCTTCTTGTCAATTGATTTATATATTGGGGGTAGATTTATTAGTTTATCAATCATAATCGTGGTAATGCTTGATCTTGGATGCTTTAGTCTATTGATTAATATTTCCTCTAGTTAATTGTGTTATTTAATATATTAGTTGATTATTATCATCCATTATTGATTGGTGACGTGCTTAGTGATTAATTGAGTCTGATTAATTGAATGAACCATAGTCTCTTGGGATTCGATCCTTACTTGCCCTACTACACAGTTAGAAGGAATAGTTAGGTTATTTTTGTTAGGTACGCGATAAGCCTATCAAGTCATCATCATCATCCTCTACATCCTCAACACAAACACGGTCTTGATCGTCCTCCATGAGATGTAATCACCTGCCATAACATCCTAGTTTAGGAAACTGAACAAGGAGTGCAACACACCATTCATATAATGTTCCATTAATTATGGATACTTTTTTCACAAACAGAGGTATCACTCTGAACAATTGTAAACAATCGAACTATATTTAACTAAGCCCATCTAATTTTAATAAGAAGTGAGTCCATGAATTTAGTAGCTAATAATACATATACTTGTATATCAATTGTAAATCAAAATTCAAACCAGGCCCACACAACCATGCAAGCCCAGACCACAACAAAAAATAGGCCCACACAGGTCGAAGTAGTAGAAATACAGGGGTTGTTTTCCTCTTCTTAGAGGAAATGAGGGGAAGAGAATTACTGGGGGGGGGGGTTGCGGCCCTCTGAAGGACAGCAGCAGGTAGGGTGGTTGCGGGGTAGTTTGCTCCATGCCCAAGTGAGCAGCAGCAGGCCGCAGGCAGGCTGCGACAACACTTACCTAGCCGCGGGCAGCTTGCGGCGTGGGCTGTTTCCCCCTCCCCTCCCAAGTGTAGTAACCAATCAACTTCAATTTCATGATATAAGTTTACCCTACAATCAATAACACCTAATTCATGACTTTGTTAGCAAATGGAACAAGAAGCAGGAAAGACAAATTAGATCATAGAATTAAACTAGCTAGCCATATATCAGAACGAAAAAATGGACCTAAATTCTAGCATTATCAAATAGGGCAACTTTTAATAATTACATATTGAAATACAAAGACCAACACAAGTTCCTTGAAGTTAGGTAAGGTATGTCATCACTAAGCTGAGGACATTTAGAGAAACAAATTCAACTTCAAAATAATGTTTACCCTACAATCAATAACACCTAATTATAGGCATAAATCAGCTCCAAGGCAATAATTATCTAAAGATTAAATTATATATACAACAAATGAACAAAAGTAAGAAGAATTATGAACATAAGCACATAATATGTACTTAGATACCATGCATTAAACAATTTCAGGGATTCAAAACACCTAAAATTGGGAACTCAAAGCAATAGTATAACAACTTCGGATTACCCATATGAACTAACAACACTTGTTTCATAGATTGCGAAGCTATTATATACCAGTAATACAAAAAAACAACCCCTGAATCAACGACTAACCCTAGATTGCAAAGCTATTCAATAGATTAAATTAGGAAGACTACGAAATTTACCTACCTTGAAGCTGCTACAATGGAGTTGGAAAGCTCGGAATGCGCTTCAATGGAGGTCAGAATGCGCTTCAATGGAGGAGAGCTGTATATGGAGAGAAAGAGAGGAGTTGCGCTGCGCAGCAATGGAGGTGAGAAAGCCCACAATGCGCTTCAATGGAGGTCAGAATGCGCTTCAATGGAGGTCAGAATGCGCTTCAATGGAGGTCAGAATGAATGGGAGAGAAAGATAGGAGTTGCGCTGCGCGGCAATGGAGGTGAGAAATCCCACAATGCGCTTCGATGGAGGTGAGAAAATTCGGACCTATGCGTGAAGGAGAGCAATGGTTAGGGTATTCATGAACGAGAGAATTAAAGGGGAAAGCAGGGGAATGACGAAAAGGAAGAAGAAGAATTTTTCACGAAATAACTGAAGGCCGGTTTTTTTTTTTTTAATTTGGCCACCGGTTCGAACCGCTTGGAAATACACTTTTGCCAGCGGTTTGGGTTGAACCGGTGGCAAATCCATATTCCCTTTTTTTTTGTTTTTTTTTTGGTTATAAAACAAAACTTTTGCCACCGGTTTTCAAGAACCGGTGGCAAAAGGGGGGTGCCTTTTTCAATTTTTCTACTAGTGATAAAATGGCTACGTAAAATACAAAATATATACATAGTATGATATAACATACTTCGTAGTTATAAAAAATAATTTGAGAAAAAATATGTACGAATTCAAGGGGCAAACATATGTCGAGTTTTGGTCTATAATCGTTAGACTCTCTAATCAGACCTAACCAAGTATGTTTGAACTCAAATCTGATCCTATCCATCGATCTCGTAGGGTTTAAAAATTTGGTCCCATATCCTCAAATTTGAAGTTGGGGGGCTGGGTCTAGCATGGTCTTGATCCTCCTTACTTTGATTTTCTCGTGCATATATGGTTCTACTATTGTTGGTTACTACTTTCATTGTCCCTTTATTATTGTCTCATTGTAAATTTTTGGATCCAACTTTGTAAACTTTGACTATAAATTATTGTTAATCTATAGAAGATAATATAGTCATGTATAATCTTGTGACGTTTAATTTATGGGAAAGAATTCTTGCATTACAAGTTTGTTTGTAATAATTGTGCAAGTCTTCATTTCTTTTATACCAATGATTAATTAAGAATGTAAGACCAATCAATAAAGAGGGACATGAACATATTTTTCTTGGAAGCTCACTCCAAAGTCCAAATTAAACAACCTTTTTCTAGCAATGGTTGACAAGTCAATAGTGGGAATGGGATGTATACTGTATATGACTAGGGGTGTACACCGGTCCTAAACCGGACCGGACCTAGACCGAACCTGTTTGGACCGGGGACCTGAATCAGGGAATTTTGAGGACCGGAGACCGGACCTGAATCAACAGGTCCGGTTCCGGGTCAGACCTGAAAATTCAGGTCCGGTCTGGGTTTAGACTTGAACAGACCTGAATTTGTATTTTTTCCGTTTTTTCTTCTTTATTCAAGCCAAAGTTTTGACTAAAAACTATCATCAACAACCTCCTACGCACAGCCCACCACCACTAATACGTACACCCCTACGCACAGCCCACCACCACAAGCTTCTTTCCTTCTACCACCCACCCCAACTCACCCCTTAACCACCTTAACCCCCTTAACCCATACACCATAACCCCAACAACCCAGACCCATTGATACCCACCGAAAACCCAGAAAAACGAAAAAATTGAAAAAAAAAACCACCACCGTTAGGCGTCCACCGCACCCACAACCCAGAAAAACAAAAAAAAAGAAAAAAACCCAGATCGATTCCACACATACATGATACATCCAACATCCGAACAAAAAACAAATAAACGAACAAAAAAATCGAAAAAAAAACAAATTATACATAAATTGTCAGAAAATACGAGAAAAAAAAAACAGAATTTCGAAAAAATAGATCTACAAACTTAAATTACAAAATTTATAATTTTACATTACAATTTCATTAAAAAAGATAATTATAATCGTAAATTATGTGAAAAATAAAACTAGATCTACATACTAACCTATATTAAACTAAAACTAAAGTACAAACAAACTCTGGTGACGGCAGATGGTGGACGACGGTGGACGATGGTGCCTTGACGATGGACGACGGGGCCTCGATGTTGGACGACGGGGCGAGGAAGAGATAGGACTAGAGGAGTTGAGGACTAAGGAAGTGAGGAGAGGCGAGGAGCCGTTGAGAATCAAAAAGAAAGGGTGAGATTGAGAATCAGAGAGGAAGAGGGGGGATTGAGAATTAGAGAGGAAGAGGGGATACTGAGAATCAGAAAGGAGAAGAGGCGTTGAATAGTTGAAGTATTAGGTTTTTTAGGCTTTTATATATATTATATATATATATATATATATATAAAATCCGGGTTTCAGGTCCGGACCTGAAAACCCCGGTTTTGGACCTGATCCGAACCGGAACCGGAAACCTTGAATTTCAAGGACCGGGACCGGACCTGAATCAACAGGTCCGGATCAGGTCCGGTCCCAACAGGTCCGGTTCAGGTCGGTTTTCAGGTCCGGTCCTATTTATGTACACCCCTATATATGACTAATAATTTGTAGTGACATTCAGCAATAATGGAAGTCGTAGCATTTGGTATCCAGCTAATAATCTTGTAAAGAAGTAAAGTAGGTAGAATAGCTAATTAATAGCCTAGATCTAAAGTGAAAAGACACAAAGGAACAAAGGGAGTATGGAAAAGATGTTGAAATCAAATTATAAATAAAGATGAGGGGGAGAGAAAGAAGAACTGTTAAATATTCAATTAATGAATACATAGCAACATCTTTACCCATGATGAAAGTGCAAGGAAGGGGATCAACCAGGATGCTACATCCTATGAAAGTGCAATTGCAAACTCTTGCCCTTTTTTCCGTGTCATATGCTGCCTAAAATATGTGTATTAAAAACGGGTATTTGATTTTATAGTGCTAGACATATTTACATATTGTAGCCTAGGAAAAAAAGAATTTGTATGTAAACGAAATATAAAATAAATTGATTAAAAGATCATTAAAAGCCGGTAAAAAGATCGGACCCACATTTGGTTTACGATTAGAATGAGAGAGAAAATAAAGATACACTTGAAGGGTCAAAATTATGTGATGAGTTGTACGAATTGAATAAAAATTTCAATTAACTACATGAAGATTTATTTGTGTTGAAAGATTTTATGTATTCCTAGGTGCAAGATGTAGATGCTTTTGGACATAAAAAAAAAAAAAAAAAAATCATTAATGAAACAAATTTGTGAATGGAAGGAGTAAAGCTTTATATATATGATGATGTTCAGACAAATTTCATTATTCATGCTATCAGAAAGACTAAATCTAACATAACATGGTTTTAGAATTTGTACAAAATGAGATGGACAAAGTAAATCTCTTACAAAAATAGACGAATATATAAGAATATAACATTCTAGTTAGGACATGAGCTTAAGTAATTTTGTTGTAGATTAGAGCATTCTCATTAAAAATGAAGATAGGCCAATTATAATTGTTGTTTGCTTATATATTACACTTAAAATGTAAAGCAACAAACTTTGACAAACAAGACAAGCTACTAATGAAGATGGTACATAAATAAAATCATGCTTAGTGCAATCTAATTAATCAAAGTACTCCTTCAAAAACAAAATACAAATTAATCAAAGTTATTGTTGAACAGCCGGGAAACAAATATGGCCGGAGTAGAACGCGATGAATGTGAAGATGACTCACCTTGTGTTGAGACTATCATACGTTGTCGATCAAATTTGTAGTGTTTTTTGACATCCTTAGCCAACTAATAAGCCTCCATAAATAAGGTCCCACGTAACTAATAAGCCTCCATAAATAAGGTCCCACGTGTATCGCAAACAAAACTACGAAAGAAAGAATCTTTGATAAAGTCCGAAATCTGCCATCTCCATTAGTTAGATGGGATACCGAGACAATGTATGTCACTGTTGTTGCCGCGACAGAACTCCTTAGCATCATCCTTAAAAACTGTAATTGAAAACGTTCCTGGTATTGAAAACCGCTTACAAGGAGAAGGATGACACTTAGGGATGATATTAGTCCAATGGTGTTAATAGCTAGTAAATATATGTAACCAAAACTAGCATCACATGACCATATAGATTTACCCGCATGTGTTGTATCCTGCCAAACGCCTCCTGGGGGATTAATTCCAACTTGGAAAGCCATGGTTGCGATCAAGGATGCCACCACCAATAGAGATGTGCGATGTTCCTCCAACCAAGCACGGTCTTTTGTCATTTTCAGAGCTTTCTTTCCGGGTAACACATTGGCACAAATAAGGAGTTTCATTATCTTTGTATCAGCTTGTGTATATTCCCTCCGACTTTGCTGATGAGTATCCACAACTGTTAATTCATTTTTGTTAACCGCATTCTTTTTAATATTTGGATGTGCTAGTATAATTTCTACCATCTGCATATTATCAAATTGAAGTATAAAATTGTAAGTTATGTAATATCTGTTACATACAATATCAACATCGATCCCAAATGACTATTGTGTTCATTAACATATTGATAGAGTATAAAACATATTCTTGTACATCAACTATAAGATTAAGCATTTAGTTGAGTTGGTCCTCTAACATGGTATTAGAACAAACGTGGCACAAAGGTCAAGGGTTTAAATCTCATCCATCTTCACTTTCAAGTAGAATAGTGAGCGATTGGTATGAGGAGAGCTCATACTGCATCCACACGACTGCTTAACTACTTTATTATTTTCTTATAACTTAAATGATGAGAGCCTTTAGAAAGAAAAATTAGATGAACACAAAATTAATTATGTACACATTGACCCGTAATTAAGTAAAAGAAAAAAAAATTAAAAACTATAAAGAAAAAAAAAGATACAAAAAAGAGAATCTAAGACTCTAAAATCATCTCTAATGGTTTAATTATAAGTCCTTGCTTGCAATATAATAATATCTAGCTACATGTTTTACCATTAGAGAACAGAAAATTGAGCTACATGCAAGCTACTATAGCCCAAACAAGTTACATACTTGAATGAAAAAGAGATAAATAAACTCTACTCCTATTGTAACATGAAAGTTAGTCATTGTTACGATTAGTGGAGTCCTGCATAGTGGGTTAATTAGTTAGATAAGATCATGCTCCTAATTATTAGCTTTAGGTTGTTATTTCATATGCTATTTATATTTCATGTGCAGGAGCTGAATCAAACTTAGCTTGTATTGTGGTATATTCCCCCCTCTTGCCTATAACGAGGCTTATCATAAGGACCTATATTTTATTGGCTCTATGCCTATTATTCCTGAAACTGGTGATGCCCTAATTTTAAGTAATTAATTTAGCATATTTTCCGTCAAAGACAAAAAACTATTTATTATATTCATGCATCTTTGTATTCTCATTGAGTAGAGCAGTGCGTGCAAATGAATAAAATTAGTTTTGTTTCTCTATTAATATTATTATTCTTCCGCTTTAATATTAGCTTCAACAATCGCATTATCCTTTTTGATCAACAACTTTGATTTTTTAATTTTTTAGGGGCGGGCTACCCCTTGTTACTTCATGGGTCCGCCCTTGCCCCTATCCTCAAGAAAGTTGCGGTGAGTGTATCAAAGTCTAGATCATCCCTACTTTAAATTTTCTAATATGGTGCATGGTACAGTAATAGAGTCAACACTTAACACTTTGTTTGGATAAGAAAAAAAAATAAAATAAAAAGACTATTTTACTATTATAGTACGTCGTTCATTTTCTTCTTACCTCGGATTGCTTGGCAGCCACAGCTAGGTGCAAGACGGTGTTACCAAGGGCATCATCGAAGTTAAGCAACTCACCATCAGCCTTCGTTTCTACCAAAATCCTCAAAGCCTCTAGTTGTTTATGTTTCACACACAAATGCAACACACTTTCACCACCCATAGTTCGCTCCCTAGCAGCTTGTGGCTCTACATTAAGAAGAGCTTCAAGTACGTCAACTTGACCATTTATGGCAGCTACGTGAACAGGCGTCTTACCATCTTGGTCATGTGTGTAGCAAATGCTCGGATTCACCGCAAGCAAGGCTTTGACGATTTGCAAGTTCCCTTTGGCAGATGCAATGTGTAGGGGTGATGATCTTTTTATTTGATCAACCAACTCTACTAGTTCTGGCTTTTGCTTTATTATTTCCTCCGTAAAGTTTACATGCCCAAGTTTAGCCGCTACATGTAATGGTGACTGCATAAAGCTTCCCGATTTTCTAATGATGCATCGATCGAGGATAAGTGGATCTTCACTGAGCAAGTGGAGCAATGAAGGTACGTCTCCCTTGAGTGCTGCATCATATAGCTTTGTTGTAGCATGTAATTGGCTTTGTGCATCCATGTTTTGTGTGGTTTATTATAGGAATGAAGTGTTTTGAATTCAGGCAATGAAAGTTTGCTTGCAATTGTTCATGCCCTAACTCTCTTTTATAGCCTTTATTTATGGATAAGAATCTAAGAATGTTGGATCAATGAATGGAGATATTTTTATTCTCATGTTTTTCTTGGAAACTCACTTCACTCTCTATTATGATTTTTAATCCAAGTGCGAAACTTTTTCTAGCAAAGACTATTATTACCAAGACTTTTCTTTGGAAAAAAGGCAACCACAAATATTATTATTATTATCAAGCAACTTGTTTTTTTCTCTCCTCTCTTTTTATAGCCGCCTCCCTTTTTGTTTGTTACTCCATTATTATTACTTTTTGTTGTTCCTATGGGGTACACTATTAACCATTTGATTTTATATGTTCTTCCACAATATTGCATGTAGTCAAATGTGTATTTTAAAATATCTATTTGACAAATAGACTCTTTTATAATAAAATCCATTATAATATTTTTTATATAAATTTACTTATACAATGTTAATATAAAAATAATTATTGAAAGTTTTATGGAACATGATCTAATATAATAATTCCTAATTATGGGTTATATATCTATCAATATATTGAGATTTATATCTCAATTGATAAGATTTGTTTGGTGTAGCGACAAAGGTTAATTCTACATTATCTACCAATTACAACAAATTTATTCAATTATTTTGAAATTGTCGTAGTAAATCTAAAGAACCCCTTGCAAAATGATATATCAATTAGCGATGTATAGCGGGTAGTTCGTTGTACTAGGAGTTTTTCCCAGTGAATGAAGAGGTTTTTTTTTTTTAAAGAAGTCCTAAAGAATCGACATTAGATTAAATTTAATTAATGAAAGCTATACGGTATATATAATTGACAATTAACGATAATGAAAACAAATTTAACAAAATCAAACCAAAATTAACGGAAAAGAGATAAGAATTCAAATACATATGTAGATATACAATTCGACTCATTCTCGATTCGTTGTCTCATACAATTTTTTGAGAGGAGGTCGCCACTTCATAATTGATTGTGAGAGAGAAAATTCTTGTGCTGATCTGATTTTGTAACCTGAATCCAAACAATAATCAATCGTAACCCCGCACAACTAGAAACTATATTAAGCGCTAGCGCAAATAAAATCTTGTCCTTTGAAGGAGTTCGAAAAACTTTGTCTTTCGAAAGAGATCGGAAAAACCTTGTCTTTCAAATGAAGATAAACTCTTCCTTTCGAGGAAGACATTATTATAACCTAATAAAATGCAAGAAAAACGTAAAAGAAACAAAGATTGGGGCTTTTCACCGGTGGAATCTGATGGAAGTCCTTTCAAAATTAATAATGAAGGCTAGAGTTTAAGAGAGAGAAGAGAGATGAGAGGCTAGGGTTAGTGAATGAATAGGTGTTTTTTTTTAGTGAAATCCTTACAAGATTGAAGTTTAACTTAAACTTGTCCCTTGTAAGAAAAGTTTTCAATTCCTCATAAAATCTACATTGCACTTTTTAATTTTCTTTATAATTTCAGTTTTATATTTCGTGAAATTAGGGACTAAGGATCCCGCAAAATGTAATTCAACCCTCCTCTTGTAGTTGCTCATATCGTTTATAATATCCTCTTGTGTAAGGCGGGTGTACGTTAATTTTATTGTAAAATGGTTAATTTAGGATAATTTTAAGTATTTTTATGGTAACTTTAACTATTAAAGGGTAACTTTTAATTTGTCGTTGATTTGAATCTTATTTTAATGTGTAATATCTTATAGATTCATGATTACATAATACAAAGGCTAATATGATTAATCTAATACATTATAAATTTTTTGTAACATCAAATTTATTATTAGAAAAATAATAACACACTTTTGTTGTATAAAGGGTAACTTTACATACTCTTATGATAACTTTAATTCGTCTCACAATAAAATAACGTACACCATCTTTTTGGAGAATTTGTGCTTTTTTCTTACAACTACTTATCTTTCTCCAAACATTTCTAATTACAAAAGCCAACTATAGCAAATTCTTCAAAAAGGCGAGTGTACGTTAATTTATTGTAAAACAGGTTAAAGTTATGTTAAAAGTATCAAAAGTTACCCTTTATTCTGAAAAATTATTATTTTCTTATTAATAAAATTTAATCTTACAAAAAACTTATAATATATTAGATTAATCATATTTAGTCTTTATAGTATGTAATCACGTATCTATAAGAAATTACACATTAAAATAAAATTCAAACCAATGACAATTTAAAAGTTACCCTTTAAGTGGTTAAAGTTACCATAAAAATAATTAAAGTTACGCTTAAACTGACTGTTTTACAATAAAATTAATGTACACCCGTTGTACACAAAGTAGAACATTAATAAATAAAAATAAAATTTTAAAAAAGGGGTGAAGTAAACAAATTTGACAGATGGAGAAGACACAAGGGAGAATTAAAAACCCTGCCTAAAAGCTAGGTTATATTATAAACCGTTACCAATTGACAATAAAAAGGAATAGTCCGCTTGGGTTATAAACTTGAGGTCATTTATTTCAATTAACTAATGTGATTAAACTTTACCTGATCTTGCACATAACACATATAGTAAATTAATAATTGTTTAGGGTCCAAATAACTTATATTTTGGCCCAGTCCACAAATGAAAATAAACAAGCCCAATTGCAAGGTTCAACCCTCCGACCCATATGTCAAGTAAGTCAACAAACTCAATCAGTATGATTGGTCAAGTCCACTCCATTCATTTGAACAAAGGTATAAAAGCCATCATTTGGCTTCATTTTACATTCATTCACATATAGCCTCAAGCACTAATTTCTCTTGCATAGCTATTCTCTCTTTTTCTTTCACTCGTACTAACTTCGGCATCGGAGGGGCCTTCCTCGGCACACCCCGGAGGCCAGTTTACGTGTGTTCAGCTATGCAAGAAATCCTCAATTCGGACATCTCTCGAATTAGGCTTCGTCGTCTCCACTCATACGAAGGATCTGCGAAGGTCCATTGTTTTATAACCGAATCAATTTGGCGCCGTCTGTGGGGATTCTTACAAAAATAAGCCAAAAATATCAAACCAACCTTAGCCAACTCAAAAAATGACTAAGAGCGGTAAAAGTGCCAAAAAGGCTAAAAAGATGACCCTGATCACGACGAGGACTCATCGCACACCCTCACCGTCACCAGAATCATCTACCTCTTCCTCGAAGAATCCTCACTCTCCGAGAAGAGAAAATCTGTCCGAGGGGTTTTCCTCTCGACAAATTCATCAAACTGTTGACTCGCCGAAAGGGAGTCGAGCTCGGCTTGAAAGCCCTAAATCGAGCAGCACTCTCATTCGCATCCAAAGTCAACCTGTCCTACAATTCCTTCCACTGAGGAAGTAGCGAGGGCAGTGACTGTCTGCATAGAGTTCATGAACGCATTGGGTGGGCACCTCCCATTCATGAAAAAAAATCCTCCTTCACCCCCTCCGAAACCTAAAAGTCTTAAAAGGAAAATGGCTCTGGAGGCGGAGGGACAAATTCTATCCTCTAAGGGGGAAGGAAGAAGAAGGGCCGAGGACCTAGCCAAGGCTGAACGGGAACTAAGAAGGGACTCCGGTCTCTTTGGAAATTCTAAAGTTCCCCGAACAGTCATAATGCTTCCTGCCGAAGCGTTCACGAGCGCTTAGGCGGAAGGGAGGAAGGCATTCATAGTCGTCTCATCTACCCCAAAGGGTCTCAACCTGAAATGTCACGCGAGGGGACACCCCTCACTTCCACCTCTTTGAGAGGGAGAAGTGAAGTTCCTTCGGCGAGGCAGAAGGGAAAGGCCATGATGGTTCCCACCAGTTCACCATTCCAGAGGTGGATATTGCAGGAACATGTGCCGACGGTCAAAATTTCGACACACATCCCTTATGACGGTACTTCGGACCCGAAGGACCACATAGCCTCTTACGAGGGGCATATGTACCTTAACCCCAAGTCCGAATATACCTGGTGCAAACACTTTCCTACAACCCTCAAAGGTGTTGCCTAGTCGTGGATCACCATGGGGGTCAAGGAAGGCTCTATAACGGGTTGGAACGACCACTCCAACAAGTTCAAGAGCAAATTCTCCACGGCTAACTGCCGAGAGAAAACAACCGCAGAGTTGATGGGCTTGCAACAGTCGGAAGACGAAAGTCTCCAAGATTATCTGACTCGTTTCAGCAACGAGTCATCCAGAATTACAAGTCTGGATTAGGGCCTAGCCGTATTCGCACTACGGAATGGTCTACAAGCTGGCAAATTGCTGGACTTCACGGTCATGTATCCACCATAAACCTTAGAAGAAGCCCTCGACGCTTTGGATAAATTTATCCGAGCCGAGGAATGGAACAAGACTAAGTCACAGTCTCAATCAGGGGCTGTAAAGCCAAGAGGCCAACCAACCGAAGTTTCAGGGTCGAGGAAAAGGAAGGCAAAAGCCTCAGAACCTCCCTCGACCGCCGAGCCGAGGAAGGACAAGGCCTCCTACATGGGGAGGTTCGAATCTTACACCCCCTTCACCTTGTCACGTGTTAAAATCTTTAGCACGAACAAGGATGAGGGAAGGTTCATGAAGCCAAAGCCACCTCCTTCATGGTATCAAAAGAACGGGAAGGATCAATGGTGCGAATTCCACGAATCTAGTGGGCATCGCATCAAAGATTGCCTTTAGCTGAAGGACCAGATCGAAGAGCTGGTTCATAAAGGTTACTTAAAGAAATATGTCGCGGAACGCCGCGAAGAAAAGAAAGCCAAGAGAGACTCTCGGCAAGATCTAGACTTCCTCCGAAAGAAAGACAAGCCAAATGGAGGGGGAAACCCCGACATTCTCACCATTTCTGGAGGAGTCTCTCGGAACGCCCTGAAGTGCCATCTTAGGGGCCTGACCCATCAGATACACAATGCTAAATTCCGAGAACCACAATCTTTGACGCCGAACATGACGTTCACAACCGAAGACTGTAGGGGGGTGGTGTACCCCCATGACGACCCGTTGGTAATCATCATGGGGATCGCCAACCGCAACGTCTACCGAACTCTCGTGGACGGTAGCAGCGGGGCAAATATCCTTTTTTGAAAGGCGTTTGACCAGCTGAAGCTGGAGAGCAAGAACGTGACCCCAATTCCCTGCCCGGTGACTAGATTCAACGGCTCTTCTTCATACGCTAG